ACTAAGCGGAAGTTTCCTTGATTTATTAAAAATGTTTTTTTTTTCTTTGAACTGGAATAGCTTGTTTTTTTTTCTCTGTATATTTTTCACTTGGCTTTTTAAGCAAATGAAAATGCGATGACCATTCAGTGAAAAAATTTGGCAACAAGCGACTGTTTCAATATTGTCATAGAAAGGCGAATTACTCGGCAGACTAGTTGAAAATGGTTTTAACTACTACTGTAAAAGTAAATGAAAAAGCAAGCAAAAATATTGCATTCAATTACGCTCTTTTTCTGAACTTCATTCTTTCAGTTTAGAATTTGTTTTGACTGTATGCCATCATATATTTATCTTTCTTTTTCAAAATTAGGTTTTTTATGCGTTCAAAGTCGTTTAATTTTTTTAGTATAAGACTTTCGGCAAATATTTTGGTCAGATGTGATTCTCACGACTAATTCTTAGCGCAGTGCAGAACTACTAAACCGTTTTTACTTTAATCCCTTCAAAAAAGTGGAGAGTTTGAGTTTCTATGTTTTTGCAAAGAACAAATTAGGCTGAAAATTTGTTTGAGTTATTCGGTTTTTCTGTTCTTTTTCAATTTTTTTTTGGTTAGAACTTTATCGGTTGTGTGGCGTGGTGTCATTTTGAATTTCATGTTTTTTTCCTACTTTATCAGCAGATAATCTTTTTCTCAATTTTTCTTTAGTTGCGACCCTGGAAATACACAAGTCACCTTCATTGTTTTGCTTTTTCTTGCTCCTGTGTCACAACGTTTATTTTGAAATACATTCTTACCAAAAATATTTTTATTTCTGTTCAGAACTATTTTGTTATTTGCATTGTGGGATTTACTGTCAAAGTAGCCTTTTTTAATTGTAATTTGGTACATTAGTAAATGAAGTTAAAAGGTGCATCAAGATGGCTGCTTATTTGTTAACGGTTATTTTCTGTTTCACCCTGAGTTAATGAAGATTATGTCACTGTGGTATTATAAGTTGTTTTGGTTCTCATTTAGTACGATTTAGGTGGCAAACATTACTTCAATCATATGTGAAGCAAAACCTTCAAAGTTCATTACTAACGCCTATTAGGCGAAAAGATTGCACATCTACACCGTACGTGTGCGATTCAATGAACCCTCGTCCTTCAACAATGTATCAGGTGATTATATTTCGAATTTGACAGTAAACTTTTCTCAAACCGCTAGGTTCTGCATATTAATAAGGACAAACAATTAGTTGTATATGGAGTTATTTTGGTTTTTTGACCCTATTACTTTCAGTCATTGAAAAGGAGTGAATCTATTCCTCGTGAGACTGTTTCTCCTCCATCTTCTTCAGCTGAAGTAAGCCAGGACAGTTCTCTAAATTCAAAGCTGGAAAGCAACGTTAAGGGTGGTGGGTACGGTGACACTCACCATGGCACCCCACGGAGCGTTAAGTTCCGAAACAAAGCAAATAAGTAAGTGAATACAGCGGTTTCCAAAATTAATTTATTCATTATTTTTTAGTGCCTTTTTTCTGGTATTGCACTTTTGGGTATGTGACGTTTCAAAAGAAAAAATGACAGAACTAAGCTTTTGACCATCTGCAACGTTCTTAGGCAAAGTTTTGAAGGCGTTTTTTAGTTCATAGTCAGCTTGGAAAAAACTTCTGGTCTGGTTGCTTTCAGGTACAGCACAGTTGTATAAAACCTTTAAAAACTTAACGTTGTAAAGTTTTCATTAGTTGTATTATTCTAAGCGAGAATATTATCAATTTAATTACTGTCTTTGTGTTAATTTTGTATGCTACAAGTGAATTCATCATTAAATTTACGAAGCCATGTAGCGGGTTTTGTTTAGAAGACCGCACTGTTTTTTCTTTCTTAGAACCACGAGTTTTTTACCGCCTTTGTAGGTTGATAAATCTTTTTTGTCGTTTCTGTCCCCTCTCCGCAGTAGAAATTTTTAGTTTTATTCGCTTACAGAAATAATCGCGGTCTTGAAAGTGGTTTTATTGGTTTAAAGTTTTTCCGCTTCTCATTATTGCTTTTTTGTAGCATTCTTGTTTTTTCCTGTTTTCTTTAATTTCTTTTCTGATAAGAGTGTGAACTTCAGCAGTCAAAAGTTTGTTTGGAAATGTTTTGTTACTTCTAATATTGTTTTATTTTTTCGGAAAGGCCTGTAACTGCCAGCAGCTGTATAAAAAGTTTTCTTGCCAATTTTACGGTAATTTTTATAACTGATGAGGAATTATAAAAATTAAACGAAAATTTGAGCAATAACCTATTATTTTTTGAAGAATACTTTCCGCAATTGAATGTAGAAAAAATATTGTTTGAGGTTTTGTATTTCTGTCTTTTGCGAACATTCGGAAACCTCATAATAATTTTTGGTGCCTTCTCGCAAATTTTACGTTCTTCAGTTACTATCTCTGTTCTTTTCTGCTCCTTTTAATTTAGTCTCATTTCTCTCATTACAGTACAAGTGAGACTAGGAAGATCGTTGCCGGGAAGGTTCATTTGCGGTAATTTTCAAACGGCGAACTGCAAAAGTGGTTTTAAAAAGGGAGAGAAATCACCATAAGAAGCAGAATTCTTTGACCTATTTGGTTTAAAAAATTTACACTTGTCATTAAAGGCAGAAAGTTTTTTTTGCTGTTGTCAACATTTATCGTAATTGACAGAGTAACGTTGTGTAAGCTACTTAAAATGCTAGCTTGAACTTACATCAGGGAGCAGGTTCTGGAATAGGAAGCGTTGTGAGGAAGAAATGGTTGATTAGGAGAAGGTTTGAGTACGAATTTGGAATTTATTTATCCTTTTTTGGCATTTTTAGTATTTACTGGCATTTGGTATTGTCGCTAGTTTAACTGTAGTAGTTGAACATAATTTCCTGTATTTTTTTTTCGTTGCTGTTTTAGGAAAAAATTTGTTTGTTTCACGTTATAAATAGGTCTTTTTTGCTTCTCTAAATGGGTTAATTGGTTTTTGAAAAATTTGACTTTAATTTTGTTAGTGTGCGTTTCTTACGGAAACTAGCACATTGATTTTTCAGTGACGAACGTAAAACTAAGGCACCTATTCAATTGTGGAATTGTTTTTTACGTTTAAAAGAGTTGGGATTTTGTTTTTTCAGCCTATTTATTTTGTAACCTAACTTTTTTCTTTTTTTTGGATAGGTTTATTGTCGCTTATATATACATATATCACTTATTTACTAGTTTTTTTCTTATATATCCTTATTTAATAACTTCCGCATGCAACGTGGTTGTAGTTCTAGCAGTTTAACGCGTTGAATTTTCTAATCGCTTAAATTAAATACTGGTTACGTCTTTTAGAAGGTTTCTAAAAAACTGTTAAAAATTGCTACTAAATTTAAATCTGTCAGTTGAAGAATATCATGCGTCTGTTTGTATACTCCGGCTACTTCCAGAGAAGAGCCTCAACGAAAACCAATGGGTGATGCTCAGCCTGGTAGTGAAACTCCCCCTCCCTTGCCTGATTCACCCTGCCCAGCTACAACTTTTCAGCGGAAGGTCCCAAGCGGAGTGGTGAGTTTTGGTTATTCGTAATTTCTTGAATTTTTTTTATTTATTTTGCTTGGAATTCATTGATAGACTGAAAACGTCAAAAGCGGCGGACAGTTTGTTTGGCAAATAGTCGGTTTGGACAAGTTCTCATGTATTTTTACGTTCAACTGGGCAAAATTTGTTGTTCATTTTAGTTGGGGATTTTTTTTAAAGTTTTTGATAATTTTTCAATTAAGCCGTTTAATATCGATACATCGAATGCGCATACTTTGCGGAAAGGATGGCTGACGTTAAGAGGCAAAAATGAGTCTGAATGGACAAAGCACTGGGTTGTGCTTGCTGGATTATCACTCAAATTATACAAGTGAGCAGTTGCGAAGAAATAATCTTGCTTATTTTCTTAACTTTTTGGAGCTGAGATAACTCAGTGCTCTGTTGTGCTGAAGGACTCAAAACATTGTTTGTGAATTCAAATTGTTTTTGAAGTGTTCACTGCAGATGCAAACTTTTGGTATGCTGACTTGAATTTTATTGTCTTTTATCTCAGAAAGTTTTCATATCGTTTCTTCTTCCGTTTCTAAAGGCTTATGAAGTTTTGCTTCTTATTTATTCTTTTCCAGAGATGTTTGGGCTGAAGATTCTGAGCCACTGATTTCTATAGATCTCACGGAATGCGAAAACGTTTATCCCTCGTCTTCAGCTCGTAATTATGGAATTGAAATCAAGGTTTATCCAGTGTGCAAATTTATTATGAACTATTTTTGTATGTTCAGTGAAGCTTAAAAAAGAATGCGATCGATGCTTGTAAGATTTTAATGCGGCAGAAGTTTTAGTGCCGAAGGACTCGATATATTTTGTCTGCCATGACACCCGGGATTCGTGACAGCTGGATTACAGCTTTGCAGCAGAATTTGCATAATCCGTCTCCCACTTATGCTGACACTTGTCACAGTGATGCAACGAGTTTGCACGATTCCGACCTTATATCGTTGCCTCCTGTGGGTTACTTTTTTTTT